TTACATGCAGAAAGACCTTCATAACACACAAGGGGACGGGTAATAGGAGAAAAGCATGACATGGGACCTTTAAATAGTCAAATCTATTTTCCCATTTGACATAACAAGAAAGCTGAAAGAATAGTTTTTAGTTTTGTAAAGTTTCCAAAAGGTTCGTTAAAATCTCAAAGTGTAGTTGTAGGTAGAAGGCAAAAAATGTTTCAAGAAAAGCTTCTATTCGTTTACAGAAGGGGATGGACACTGAAGCGACATCATGACTCAAATAACTAGAAATACAACCTTGGAACAAAGCTTTTTTCTACAGAAAGCTTAAATAAATTACAAAGATTGTCGGTATGTGTTCAGCTGCCTTTGTCAAAACACCATTTCCTATAAGCACTAAATATTTGTGGTAAATTACTGTCCCTAACTAAACACAATGAGTGGGCCATATGACATACTGTTGAGAAAGGCTTGGTTTCAAGATTGTATTTTGAGATATTTGCGGTATCTTAAATAGTCAAAGGGTTCTTGAATGACATCTTTTTCCATTTGACAAAACTAGAAAACTAAATATAGTGTTACGTTTTTGAAAGTTTCCAAAAAGTTGTGCTGTAGTAGGTAGAAGGCAAATAAAATGTCAAGAAGAGCTTCTATTAGTTTACAGAAGAGGATGGACCCTGAAGCGACATCATGACTCATGTCAGAAAGTTCCTTTAAAACATTAAAAAGAAGCCTCTACCAAAGCCTCAGGTTTTGAAATTGGTTTGTGGCTGGAGGCTTCTGGGAACTGGACTAACGACACATCTTCTCTGTGGAGACGGGGGCTTGCTTCTCGGTTTCTCCTACAAGAAACATCTAATTTCCAACTGGATGGGCTCCATTCAAAGCAGCTGTGCGCCATTAGGACTGCTTTCTCTTTGGCATGGAGCGATTGTTACATTACTTCTGAGAAAGAAGCGCAAAACCAAATCGACCCACAAGTCAGCCCGCCCTCAACCTCCTATTCCCCTCAATTATCAAAATATAAAGAGGGGGTATTATTTTTTCCCTCCTCAGTCATGCAGGAGAAGTTTCCATGTGGATTCTAGCATGACTCGAGACAGATAGAGAGAGAGAGAGTGGAAACGCTGAAAAAACCACCCACATGAGGGTTTTTAAAGCTTCAGGGGGAAAAGAGCTCAAACCCCCTCTTCTGTTTACACTCAGATAGCATGGTCACCAGTGTTGGGTGTAACGCATTACAAAAGTAACGGAGTAATGTAACGCATTACTAATTAAATGTGGGTAATATACCACCCGTTACAACACATTTTAACCCGGAATTAAACGGTGTTTTGTTTTTTAAGAATTCACTAACATCGCGAGACATTCCGACACCAGAGAAACATTGTGCGGGTAGATTAGTAAACCTGGTGTTTACCCTTCAGGCTCATCAAGATCCCTCCGCTTCGCGTCGGGTTCCCTGATCAGCCTGTCGGGTGTTCTTTTCCCCATAATGACCGCCTCGCTGCACATTATCCCGCTTATTACACGGCCATATACTGAACGAATTACAGAGCCCATTCCGTGTTCCTGTTATTGTTTACTTCCTCTCTGCCTTCTTCTGGTGATTTATCTGACGTCCAGCGCTCCGTCTTTTAACCTCTTTTCCTTTCTCTTTCTTGACCCTCCTTAGCAACCTTCATTATAGTCCTTGACAGTGGTCTGTAGCCTACTGTATTAACAACGTGTCGCATGTTAAGAATGTACAATCAGAAAGCGAGTATTCAACTAAGCTGTGTAATAAAAGTTGTTAGTAGCCTTAATGGCCTACACAGTTGTTATGCTATACCATATTGCCCTTCACTGGATGTATAATGAGCTGCACTAAACTACATTTTAGCATTTAAAATACCTAGCCATTCTTTTGAGGTTATTTTGGTGAAAGTAACTCAAAAGTAATATAAAAGTAGTGTAACTCATTACATTTCAGAGACAGTAATATTGTAATGTAACTTATTACTTTAAAAAGACAGTAATAAGTCATATGTACTGTATTACATTTTGGAAGTAACTTGCCCAACACTGATGGTCACATATTTTCATACATCTCCTCTCATCTGGGAATTAAATAAATAAATCATCCATGAACAGTTGACTAATCATGTATTACTTTGAGTGTTTATAGCAGGGACACGGCATGTCGATTGTTTCTCACATTTTCCTTGTATTTCCTCTGAACTTCCTTGTGTGCTTTGGGTTTGTTTGGATGCACAATATTGTAAATGTGTATTTGCCCCGGTGCACACTTGGCATTCATCCGTGGAAACAAATAGGATCAACTGTATCCTGTTTTTCAATTTCACCCTTATTGAATGAGCTCATTATCAACGTATTTATCATCCTGAAACCGAAGTGACTTTATTTATCCTCCATTCAAGTGCTTTTTTAGCTGTCTGTGATTTGTCTGGCAACACTGCACCTTAAATACATACAGGGAATGTTATTGTTGGTAAAACACAAGTTAAGACTGTAATTATGCATGATATTTATCTGCTCCAGTTTGTGCATTTAAAATGATTTATGTGAAGTTAATGTTTGATTTCCTGTTCCAGCTCTTTCCAAATACTATGTGATTCAAGTTAGGGTTAGGGTTAGGGGTTAGGGTTAGGCTTATTTAACTTTTCTTGTGGTTTTCATGTTCCTTTATTCATCGATCCCTAAAGTACTAGGCTACACATTTCACTCAGTAAGTAACCCACTGAAGAGCAACCCAGAACAACCAATCCTCTACAAATGAGAGTTCATTGCCTTGATGAAGGGTAACTTAGAAATACTTTCAAAAGATCTGAGAAAAAGTACAATTTTCCACAGTTGGTCCAGGATCTGAGCGTCAAACCTTATGTTCTTTAGCCCTTATGATGTATTATGTGTCTCAGAAGCAGCAGAAGAACCCATTCCATCACCATTTCTCACTAATGGAAACCCATTGGAATGGAAATTTGATGGAAAACACTTAGTGTATAAAGTTTCCGTTAGAATATTTTTTCGCCGGTCAACATGTCCGTTAAAGTTGAAATCTTCCGGACAAAATGAGAAAAGTGCCGGTCAAAGGACTTCGTTGTTATTTATTGAGCTTTAAAACAAATTGATATGATTCGATATTAAACAAACTAATTATTGTAGATTAACTACATTATTCAAAAGTGTACAGTAATTTATAATAACACAGGAATAATAAACGGAGCGCTCTCCCTCTCCTGACAGCCCGCCAGTATCATGCAGCTCGCTGATCCAGTAATGAGTGACCCGACAGTAAAACTAAACATATCTATAACTAGTTTGAGAGGTAATTAAAATAGCTACGTGTGATTTTCTAACCTGAAGTGTGTGTTTTGCTCCGCTCACCGCTGCAGGTGATCATGCAGAGCTGCGTGTCGACTCGTCAGCAGCAGCTGATCTCTCTCTCCCGTCAGATTAGACTTCACTCGCGTTTATGTCCATATCGATCAGATCTAGCTAGTTCTAGCTAATGATATGACTACCTGCTTATCAAAAGACACCTAAACAATAAGCGTCGCTATGCAACCGGGTGAGGCCGCAAAGTATAGCGCAGCATTATGCATTTGTTTACATGCCCACCGGAACCCAGAGGCATTACCAACAGATCAACGCACAATCAACCCATACAGGACACTCTTTCTCCACATTAAGTGTTAGACATTAGAATTGACTCTTCTTGTCTGTCACATACTCTTCTTGTCTGTCACATAAGTGGCGCAACTGATGCGGTATTGTGCTAAGGGGAAATAATTTTGACCGGACATTTTGACCGGAGAGATTTCGATTTGCCGGTCTTCAGCATATTTTACCGGTCATAGTCCGTTAATTACCGGCTAACGGGAACTCTGGTGTATACTTGTAAATGGATTCAGCCTTCAATTGGAAACCTTTGGTATTGTACTTTTATTCACCAGACCAGTTAAAGTGGACGTCAATTACATCCAAAAAGTGGCACCTCAGTGGCTTAAAGTAATGCTTTGCCACTACAATTCAAGTTAGGGTTACTAATTATGTTCAACTTCTCTTTATTTTATTTTTCTTGTGGTTTCATGTCCCTTTACTCAACAATCCCTAAAAAAAGTTGGCTATAGGCCTACATAATTTCACTCAGTAAGTCACCCACTGAAGTACAACCAGTCTTCTACAAATGACAGATCATTGCCTTACTGAGGGGCAACTGAGACTTACTTTCAAAAGAACCGAGAAATCCATAGTTGGTCCAGAATTTGAGTCAAACCTTAAGCTTGTTTTGCCCCTATGATGTTTTATGTGTCTCAGGAGCAGCAGAAAGAAGATGCTGTCAGTTTCTCAAAGGCAATTTACCAATTTTTCCTCAATGGAAACCTATTAAAACCACACATCCTTGTTATGAAACTCTGCTTTGACTCTTCAACAGGTCATTGTTTGACACTTCAATGCTGTTCTGACAACCCTAAGCAGTGACATCAAGTGTGAAAACCTTATGTACTCGTGTTTTTCCCTTGCCATTTTCACTATTTTAGATATTCTTTCTCCTTTGAGTCAATAGTTAGAGCAAATAAACAAACCACCTGCTGTGGCGTATGCCCAAGAGTTCACATTTATCACCGGTTGAAACTTTTTTAGATGCTCGAGTCAGACCTGAGAGCTCCACTGAAACTTTAGTCGAGATAATTATGTTGCCATCTATTGGAGAGCTTCAGTAAAAGCAAGAGAAGCCCAAAATGCTCAGTCAGTGTTCATGTCTGCTATAAGAGCAGTAAAGGTAACTCAGATGATGTATTTTACTGTAAGTTATATGTAAAAATAAAGAATAATATGTTGTTTTCTGTCAGAAATGTATTACTTTCTCTGCACTGATGCCAAAAAGACCATCTCCTGTGGAAGATTCTTAAAAAAAACGCTTTTGCTTCTGCTGAATGATTATCCTGAGTGGCCATATATCCCGATTCTGATTCAAAAGAGTGGTCTTTATTTAGAAGAAGAACAAGTCTGACTGCAGTTTTGGCTGCCGTTTATTAAGCAATTACCCATGCAGGTTGTTTTTTTTTCTTGGATCATCATTTGTCTCAACATATCCATGCTGCTGTGGTGTCATTCAGAAAATACTCCCAATAAAACTGATGTGTTTACACCTGCAGACTGTCGCTGCATACAAAGTGACCCAGACAGTAGTGTGTGAATGTGGACTGGTTCAATACGTTTGCAGAATAATACATAGATAAATGGACATTTCTAGGAAGTGATAGTGCATTTGTCAGTGGGAAATACATTTCTAACAAATCTATTTGCGTAAGGTCCCGTTTTGCCATTTGATTGGACGTTATTAATTAATATTCCAGCAATTCATGTACAAATCTAAGCTTCTCATAATGTAATAGTTCACGTCTTTCTAAACCTAAATACTTAAAAACCTTTGAAGAACAACACAAGTACCCCAAACCCGAGTGTAATCTAAAATACATTTTAATCTTGCTGAAATTAGTTTTTCACAATATTGTTTACATTATTAATCTTCGTTCTCTTCTTCCTCGCTCAGGTCTTCTTTACCGTCTCCAAACAGAACTGTACAATCATGTTCATGTAAATTGGTCTACATCAAGGCACAAGACAACAGCCGTTGTGGGGGGGGCCTTGGGTAGGCTGATCTTTAATGGCGTCCCTCTGGCACACAGAAAAACAGGGTACCCTCGGGAAGGAAAGGGAGATATGGAGGATGTATGGATCTCAAATGGGGAGGTGGTCTCATAGAAATGTGCTCTAACGAGGTGAAAGGAGGGAAAACAATAAGGTGATAACAACTGCAGCTTTCATTTTATTTTCCAATGATACTCATGTATAAAAAAGAGGAACCATTAGGGTATTTTTTTTTTCTTCAGGAGTTCATTTGTTCATGTACATAAAGTAAAGTGCTTTTTTTCTCATTTTTTTCTCTTATTTGCCAAAAGCAAAAGGTTTCACTAACAGGATGGAGATGGGAACGAGAAAGTCCAGTGGCGTCTCTTTTTTCCCCGTAACAATGTGAGGGAGTGGGTAAAGGGCCAGTTCAGTGTTTTTATTTTCTGCTTTGTTTTTGTTGATTTTTGTTCTCAGGGTTTTTTTCTGGTGTTTTCTTGTCTGGGTTCAACCACTGAAAGAAAGAAAGACAAGAAAGAAAGACAATTATTATACATTTAAAGGTTTTGAAAGGACTACACTAACTGGTATTCATCAATAGTCCATTTTAAATTATTACACGATGAACCAAATAAGATTTTAATCCATTTATCATCAAATGAATACGAAAAAATCAGTCAACTCAGGTGTTATTGCCTAAAACAGTTTTTATAAATCTGGGTTTTATTTGTATGTTATGAGCTGTTTGAATATTTAAAGGTGGGGTAGGTAATTTTGGAGAAACCAGCTCGAGTGCAGTAGAATTTGAAAATACACAACCGGAAGAAATCTGCTACTTCCTTACAGAGCCCCTCCTCCAACACACACGAACGCGCACATGACCAATGAGGGCACGAGATAAGTTTGTGCATAGATGGAAGGCTGACAGGCAGGTAGGCCATCCAGTTATTTTAGCCGGGCCGGCTCAAATGATTGGCCGTGCTTTTTACAGTATTACTGCTTCCACAGATGACATTGTTTTATGGATTTTTTGTCAAAGTACTTCAGATATTCATTGCTATCGGGATGTTAAGAGCATTCCATGGAATATAACAAAAAGTGTATCTCGAGCCGGTTTCTCAAACTTACCTACCCCACCTTTAAGTTTGAATCTTTAATATTACAACTTTGTTGGCATTGTCTTAGTTGGCAAATGAAGAAAAACCCAATGTATTAGTATGATTCTCTTACTAATCACAAATGGTCAATCATAAACAATACATAAGCAATGAGTACAATTGAAGAGATCTCGTAAAAAAAATAAGAGGTAGAAGTAGAGAAGAAGGAGAAGAACTAGTACAACAATAAGTAGTAGAAGAAGTAACAGTAAAGAAGAAGAACTGTATTTACCGTTTCCCTGAAGGTGTTGGAGTCTCACATCTGAACGTTTCTCCTCCGCCTCCCGAAGGCCTTGGCGCCGACGTTGGTGGGGACGAAGTTGCTGTTTCCCATCCCCCCCGACCGGCTGAGGAAGTCCGCCAGGCGGTGGGTCACGCAGGTGGCCGTGTTGCAGGCTCGCTTCTGTGCTGTAACGCTGCTTCAGGAGAACAAAACCGGGGTTAACGTCTGCTGTCACATTCACCAATAAGACACACAGTGCACACAGTTCATTGTATCAACAGTAACGTGACACCAAAGGACATACAGGTAAAAATATGCATCAAGCCCTGAAAGCTTCAATCGCATATTTTCTTGTGATTTTTCTTACCTTTAAACTCGTTGAGAACTTCAGAGATAATTTTAAACCCATTGACTGTGTTAAAGAACCCCTAAGAATGAAAATGAGCTAAGGCTTCCTGGTAGAAAAATACGTTTATTGAACAAGAAACATGGTGTCGCATGAGTGGATAATTTATTAATGGTTCGATTAAGTGATCTCTCTCAACTCTTGGATTTCAGAGCTGTGAATTGCCATCAGATGACTCCACGCACAGTACACAGAGATGGCTTCTGGATTACATTTATGAAAACTAAGTCTGATTGTCTCAAATTAAAGGGACAAAGTATTCTCTGGCAAAAAAAAAAAGTAAACAGGGAAAGGAGAATCAACAGAAAAGTCGGTTGCAGTTAAAGGTATTATTCTTCTCATGTCAATCAAGCAGGAAAAATTAACATGCACTTGCCGATGCAGAAACAAAAAAGGAAGAACTTTGAGGAGGAGGAAGAGAGAGGAGGAAGAAGAAAGAGATGCAGTAAAGGACAGGAGTTTAGATGCTGTCAAACGTCTCGCCGTAGCTTGCATAGCTGTCGCTCTCGGGCGCACTGCGCTTCTTTCCGGGCGTTCCTGCTCCCACGTTCGTGCGAGGGAACGTCTGCAACTTGTGCAGCTCCTGAGACAGTTTGCCCAACACACAGGTGCTGAGGTTGGAGCACCGCTTGGTGAGGTGCCTGTCCATGCTGTCGGGGAGGGGAAACACAGAAACACATGCAGAGAACAGGCTCATAGGCATGGGGAAAACATGCAGGAAAAATCGTATTCCTTTCATCACTCACCATTTATCTCACATGCATTTCAATCACATGCCATTGCAGGTAGAAACAAATAAGGACATTCCCCCCTTATAGCATCATGCTTTTCACCCCTTTTCACCATTCAAAGAACCTGTCTTCTACCCTTCATGCTCCATCCCCACCCCCGCCCAGTCAATCCCCTCTTGTCATATCTTCTACACCCACAGAAGGAACAGAAACCAGTCGCTTCCCACTGTCATGCAACTCCACTTAATTGACATCATGCACACTTATTCGTTCCGTTAGGCACACACTGTTCACATGCCCCGCAGGCAGGCTGGAAATAGTAGTCCGTTCAAACAAAGTCAAAATCAAACTCATCCATGCGGGAGCGGGTTCATAACAGAGAATAGGGGGATTTCATGTTTTGTCTATTAGCGTCTTGTCTTGGAAACAATCTCTCTTCTAAGAAGTACATACCTCTACGCCTGATTGAACCCAAGTGGGGCGCTAAAAAGACTTCAGTTGGTGTTAAAGTGAGACCCAGATAATGACATGTTACCTAAAAAGTCCTCGCCCTCCATTTTACCTTTTATTTTCCACTTTACATTTTCTCATTCAGGTAAAATATTTCAGTTCCTGTTGAGGAAAGGTTATTTTTTTAAAGGATTAAGATATATGTGTACCTGTTTCCTTCAGTCGCCTGCTGCTCCAGCTCCTCCGCCGTCATCTGAACAAACTCCTTCACGATGGCGTTGAGTAACCTTCGCGCCTCGTAGTCCGTGAGCGTGACTCGGTCTGACATGGACTCTAAACCCGGTCTGCGATGGATGGTTTAGGGGTCAGGTGGTTTGGGGAGGGAAGGAGGGAAGAAGAGGTATTGAGATTAAGCATTAAATCCTTCACTAGAATGATCACCTGCAGTTAAAAGGAGGGGTGGGGATGTGTTGGGGTGGGGTAGGCTGCTTCTACTGGATGGAGAGGAGGGGGTCAGGAGGTTTTTTTTTTAGCTGGGACGTCACCAACTCTGAGAGGGATGACGTCTGAGTTGGAGGCCCCCGGCCAACGCAGGGAAACAATCTGCGGAGAGTGCCCCGTCCCTGAGAGCAGCCGCCTTTAGATTTATTACTAAATCGATGGCTTCATGGGAACAGGGCGGGGAGCGGCTTGAATGGGGCTTCATATAAATATATAGATCTCATTAATCTCCCCCTGTTTCCCTGTCTTCTTTTACTTTTTTACTTATTTTTCTTTCTATTATGCCCTTTTTGAAAGAAGAGTAATTTTCATGTAATTGTAAATGTAAACAAATGTTGTTTATTGATTGGGAAATGACATATTTGAGATTTACATTATTATGATTTTTAGAAGTATGTGGTTAAAGACACATTTTAGACCTTATATACCTCAACTGGAGTCAAGTTTTAATCTTGCTCATGCAAAGTGACAACATTAAGCTTCATAAACTATTCAAATAAAATATAAAAAATATGTTTAAAGTTGTGTGCATGCATATTATCACAGACTCTGTGTTGAAGACTATCATTAAAAGCTCCCATTTCTTTATATTTTTCTAGCAATATTGAAAATGGACAAGAAGACCAATTATACCAGATTCCTATAGTTAAAAAAAAAAGATTTAGTATCAACCCTCCTCTCTTTCCCACTGGTTTCTAGTGATTTTAACAATTTAGGAATTCTACATCCGTTACACTTTTCGACATATCTCAAGTTTCTGGTAAAATGCATGTTAGCCGTAAGTTTGAAGTCTACAAATATGAAAGTTGAGCGTCTCACCTGGCAGGGGCGGCTTGTGAGCAGTACATCTGGCAAATGACCAGGGCGTAGGCAACGAGGAAAGCAGAGATCTTCAACATAACCATGGTCCCCTACACAGCAAGAAAGACATCCCATCACCATCACCGTCACCATCACACACACCATCACACACACCGCTGTCTTTCACACTCACACACTGTTAAAATAAGTTTGCAAGTCACCCTCAAAATTCAGCAAAAATCGACATACATGTAGAAAATACAGGTTCTAGTTTGTCTGATCCTCCGATGCTGTTGGGAAGAAGTTGCAACAAGAAGAAAAACTGATTCCTGTCACTTCCCAGAAAGATCAACCCATGCCACTCTTTTATCTCGGGTCTCCTGCTGCTCATCCTGAGCCTCATAACGACCCTACTCTTCTTCTTTCCAAACGATTTGTTCCTCTTCCAGCCAGGAGCTCAGGACAGGTAGTTCTCTCATGTCGCACGCTGCACAGTGACATGCATGTCTGTGTGTGTGTGTGTGTGTGTGTGTGTGTGTGTGTGTGTGTGTGTGTGTGTGTGTGTGTGTGTGTGTGTGTGTGTGTGTGTGTGTGTGTGTGTGTGTGTGTGTGTGTGTGTGTGTGTGTGTGTGTGTGTGTGTGTGTGTGTGTCATTGTGTGTGTGTGTGTGTGTGTCATTGTGTGTGTGTCATTGTGTGTGTGTGTGTGTCATTGTGTGTGTATAAGGTAGGTGGGGGTCCGAGACTGTGTATGGCATGTATAGCACTTGCTCGCTCTGGAAGAGGAGGGGTGAAAAGGGAAGAGAGCGGGGGGGGGACTCCAAGCTTGCCAACTCCCTAAGGGACCAGTGCATTAGTGTAATGAGCTGCCAGCACTCTCTCTCTCTCACACACACACACACACACACACACACACACACACACACACACACACACACACACACACACACACACACACACATACTCTCTCGTCCCTCCTGTCCATCTCTTCTTTGCTTTTCGCTGTTTCACTTGCTGTTCTTCATTTTAGCCCCTTTCTTTTTCTCTTTCTTGCCTTTTATCCTTATTTTTCTCTCTGTGTTGGTCTTCGGCCTTCACGGAGCAGCCCAACAGAATGAGTGGTGGTGAGGCTGGTGACCCCAGTGGTCACACTCCAATCCCATTACCAACACTCTCACGTCACCACAGTCTAACAACGCAGTCACTCTGTATCTGATCCACTCACATGCAAACAGCTTATCAGGTACATTAACAGTTCCATCACATCGCCCAAACATTTAAAAGTCAACACTTACCTTCAGTGGTAATCACCCAGCGGAAGAAAAAAATATATATATATATCTCTAGGTATCTCTAATGCAAAACACAATAAGTTGACTTTCTCTCAACTTGCAGAACAACTCTTGATTCTGTTGCATGCAGCGCCAACGCACCAGCCTATATATCCCACCACTTGGATTTGTGCATTGACTGTGTAGGTGTTTAATTATCCGCCAGCAGCCAATCACGTCGCTCTGATGCTATGGCGAGCCAATGGGACGCCTCCCCTCAGTCCTGGCTCACTAATAAGGGATATGGCTCTGCGCTGACGTCATTCCCCAGTCAGTAAGTGCTCCATTCACAAAATCCTTCAGTCGTTTGGACCATTTGCTATCCCCCAATTTGCATTGATGTCATTAATCAAATAGGAAGCAAAAGCAAACTGGTGTTCACGGAGAAGCATCACCAGCAATAAATATTTTAAGAACTTTCCAAAAATGTTACATTGCATGCTATATCTCAAATCGATAAGGCGCCCCCTACCCCCCCCTCAACCCAACTCCCACCTCCCCAGCTAAGAGATGCAGGCGGGCCATCTGCTGGGGAGGGACGTTCACTACACGATGACGCACTCCTGAGCTTTTCATTCATTCATTCATAATGCTGTTTGGATAGCACCAACTACACCCACTGTGATTCAGCTCCACACACCATCTCACACACAATGAGCTTATGTCATCCATTTCATTTAGGACAATATGTTGTGATTCCCCTCAAATACTGATGAAAACCAACTACCTTCAAACTATGAATAACTGTGAAAATGTTATTTTTCTTCAACTTAATTTGTGTCTTTTTCAAACAGTGTGATTAACCTGAAACGTATGCCTTGTCTCGCAGTGGGTACTGTATGTATGACAGCCTCCCACCCCCCCTAAAGGGAAACATCAAACCACATTGAGTTAATAAAGTGATACCACAGTCGGTCCAGTATAGTGATCACTGCCTCCTCCCACACACTGAGTAAACGAGCAGAGACCAATCGATGACAGCCTCCGACAAGAGCCGTTTCTCAAAAGCAATTACACAACTGTTTGTCGTGCACCGTCCTCTCAATTCCCTTTCTTTTCATTAGTGTGCAGGGCGGTGTATGTTCCTGTGTGTGTGTGTACACTACTTGTGTGTCTCTGCACAGTGGACTAAATGAATGGGCGTACAGTAGGTGTGTGTGTGTGTGTGTGTGTGTTCTGGATTATATGTCAGAGTAAAAGAAGGGGAGGGGTTGCCTCTCTTCGTCTGCGTCATAGAGGAACCCCATTAGACAGGATGAGCCTTTTAGTGCTATTGAGCCACAAGGCTCACCCATGTCAGACGCTAAATCACCGCTGAATAGACAGCTGCTGGGTCTCAAGCCACATCTTCCAATCTACATCACTACTTTCCACTGTGCCGCCTAACTTGTCGCACAGTGACAGACTGAGACATACCAGGAGACCTCTTTAAAAATTATAACTTTATCTTGAACACTCATATCCAATTCAGCCTTTTGACCTTTCATTCAAAACTTTAAAGGGTCCCTATTATGCTTATTGGGGTTTTCCCTTTCCTGTAGTGTGCTATATAGGTTTCTGTGCATGTCAATGTCTGCAAAGAATAACATCCCAAAGACTGGGCTCTGGTTTCAAACAGAGGGAGAAGAGAACAATAAAAATAAAGACCTTTTTGAACATTAAAGCATGGAGACATGTCACAGTTGAGACACTAAATACTAATATGAACCTGAAAATTAGCATTATATGGCCCCTTTAAGCTAAAATGTATAGGCATGACTGTATACTTTGTACAATTTAATTTCCACTACTGGCTCTACATATTGTATGCTGCCAGGTTGCTTGTGAAAGCTTTTAAGTTTATCGTGACCTTCGTAATACATGATAAAGTATTTGCTGATTAAATGTTCTATTATTAATCTGAATCTTGACACTAAGTTATCAAATAATTGTAGCTGAATAGATAAATATGTTTGCTTCTGAATTGTACTGAAGCATAAAGTAGCTGAAAATGGAAATGCGAGTACCTCATAATGGCACATAAGTACAGCAATAGAGTAAATACTGCCTGTCACTGTGTCGCTGTGTCATAGTTTGGCTTAAAATAAAAATGTTTCCTGGTGCCTTTTACCTAGTTTACAGCAGACAATGTGTTGCTCATCCCTCTGGGTCTATATATTGTATTCCTGTGTGTGTGTGGGTGAGTGTATCCATACTGTACGTGCATGCTTACGTATATGTGCTCATGTTCTCAGCGTGGGTGATCCTTTTGGGTCATCTTCACGCTGGGGAGCTGAACAGGCCGTCCTGTCTCCTCCAAAGTTTCCCTCAGTTCCTGAAAAACTTTTGAGCATCGAGTCAATACGCTAACCTTTTAAGCTACCCCCCCCCCCTCCAGCACTCCCACCCTGGTGTAAGTTATCGCTGGGGACACTGACCGCTGTCTGATGCTGGGGTTTTATTGGGTTTGAACAAACATCATGCTATTTCAGATCTTAATGGATGTATTTGGCCAATTAAGGAGCAATGTAGCAACAACCTGCAGAAAAGATGGCAACACGTCAATGTTGTAATTGCTATTACTGTACTGCTGTGCTAAATGAGTTTGATGTCATACGTACCCAATACACCGATGGTATTTCCACATGAGTTTAAATGTTATGCCTTGTGTCCTCGTGGCTTGGTGAGACTATTAAGAATCTCATAATACATATGCATTTTTCTAATCTGCTATATGTGAACTATATTTATGAAACTAAAACTTTAATGAGCCAAAAACACTTTATTGTATTAATTGGTGAATGCTTTTTGGAGATGTAATACATTTTAAAACAGATTAAGATGCATTTCTGAATTAATTAATCCTCTACCTCATCTCAAATCTGAAATTTAAAAAAGAATCACAAAAGTTGAGACACCTGACTCACAGCTGCTCGTCGTTAACCTATCAGTTACCTATAGGATACATTTAGGGCGGTTTATTTGCTAAATCATATCATATTATTTACTAATTTCTCTAGTTTTTCTTGTCACGTTTTTTGTTGTTTTTATTCAATATTAGCGATTCCCCTACACAAAACACAGCAGCTTTTTAATTTCCCTTGTCACAGTATGCATTTGTTTACAGGTTGTTTTCAACATTTTTGTTACGTACGTTTATTTTTTTTCTTGTCAAGTAAATTCTATATATATTGCCCCAAATCTTTAATATGGCTCAAAAGGCTTTACAATCTGTACAGCTTATAAAACACTTTCACATGTTCCCACATCATAGCAGGAAAAGCACAGGTGTAATTAAATAACCAACTCAGTCTCACGGCATTTCGTGTTATAGTCACGAAATTAATGTAATCTATTGATTCGTGTTCACCAACACGATTTTCCCATTTTTTCCGTGTCAAACAGAACGATTTTAAAAGCAATGTGTTTCTATTGGTAGTATGTTTCGTGCCTGCAACAGGTCTTTTTGTCCGGTCGGGTCTTGGAAGACCAGAAGCTGTGTGGTTCATAAAAACATTTTCTTACTCAATATCTTACCCTAAGCCTAACCCTATCCCTTTTATTTTAAATTGTATAATGTCTGAGTTTTTTTGCCGTCCACGAGGAAAATAAATGGGGCTCAGAGCCTCATACTGAAATCTGTATTTTTCGTCATCTTTTTTTCCTTCTAATTTGTTATTTTTTGGTGCAGGCATGAAACATACTACCAATAGAAATACATTGCTTCTAAAATCGTTCTGTGTCAGAATTCTGAAATCTGTATTTTTTTGTATCTGTTTTTCCTTCTAATTTGTTATTATTTACATTGCTTATAAAATCGTTCTGTGTGACACGAAAGAAATGGCGAAATCGTGTTGGTGAACACGAATCAATAACGGTGTTCACCTGTGCTTCTTCTGCCACTGTGAAAAAAGGCCTATCAGGATGACGTTTTATTTTAATAATTATAGTCATGAGGGGGCCAAATCATACAATATTTCCCAAAGAAACGTACAATCCTTGTGAGGGCTCAAACTGGCTACAGCACATAGCAACATGGTGTTGTCCATATAAACATGACAGTGTTTGGGCCATCAAACAATGAGTGACACTCCTGTTATTGAATATCAAAGCTAAATAAAGCTTTATAAAGTGAAGCCACAATCCCCGTTGTGTTTATAGAAGAGACACGACTCTCAGTCTCAGCTGACAGCTGCTGCTCGCCTCGCTCCACCTACACAAAACAATTAGAGTGAAGTTCGCTTGGTATTGGATCTTCCGTGGATATTTGTTGTTTCACTTTCGATGACTTGTAAAGCCAGCGATTAAATCCAGACTAATGAGTGCATTCGTGATTCTCAGAAAGGGGAAAAACTATTTACAACCAGTGGATTCAATACTTGAAGTGTCGCCCACAGATAAATGGAAACAGTCCATGCCAGATGAAGGACATCCTGGGAAATGCAGGAAATAGCCGATGGACACGGATGACTGACTTTAACACTGTCCGAGATGCCTTTCGCTGTCACACTGCGATTATTCTACATGGCACTTAATAGCTTGTGAATCACTACAGCTATAAATACATCTTTTATTGTTTCTATAACAAGCCTATTTATAATACAGACTTCAACATATATAATAATACGTTTTTATATTTAGCATTATTTTTGTATTTTTGTAACAGCTAATCGTGTCTTAATTAGCAGAAGTTGTTGTTGTTATTATGGTTCATTTTGCACAGTCAATATCGCAGCTATGATTATAGTCAGGCTTCATGTTAACATAAGCGTTATCTATTATGTAAGCTTAGGCATTGCTTTGTCAGAAACACTAAAAACCTACATGCACAGAGTTAAAACGTGGGAAAAATGTAACGTTTTGTTTGTAATTATTTGACTGAATGACAAAGAGCAGTGATCTGTCAATTTTATATATTGCACCAGCTGTTGCTGCTAGCAAATTAAACATTTGTTAAGCGCAAACATGAGAAAACTAGCTTGAAGTTATGCGTCGAATAATTATGTAGATGGAGAAATTAGATATAATAACTGCTTGCTTACTTTAAAAAAAATGCACCTGCCTATATTTCAAGCCTAGCAATAAATATTGTTTTAGAATCGATCC